TTATGTATGTTATGTATGTTATGTATGTTATGTATGTTATGTATGTTATGTATGTTATGTATGTTATGTATGTTATGTATGTTATGTATGTTATGTATGTTATGTATGTTTGTATGTTATGTATGTTATGTATGTTATGTATGTTATGTATGTTATGTATGTTATGTATGTTATGTATGTTATGTATGTTATGTACGTTATGTAGGTTATGTATGTTATGTATGTTCTGTATGTATGTTATGTATGTTATGTATGTTATGTATGTTATGTATGTTGTGTATCTTATGTATGTTGTGTATGTTATGTATGTTATGTATGTTATGTATGTTATGCATGTTATGCATGTTATGCATGTTAGTATGTTAGTATGTTAGTATGTTAGTATGTTTGTATGTATGTATGTATGTATGTTTGTATGTGTGTATGTGTGTATGTATGTATGTATGTATGTATCTATCTATCTATCTATCTGTCTGTCTGTCTATCTATCTATCTATCTATCTATGTATCTATGTATGTATATATATATATACGATTTATGTATATATATATATACATACGATGTATATGTATATTTATATAAGTTTGAGGCGCTGCAGGTGCTATGTCACCCAAAAGCAGCAAGTTCTTAACCACCATCTACTGCAAGGAGGCAAAGTAAAGGGGCGGGTCCAAACATGATTTGGGGGTGGGAGCCTTGAGATGGCGATGCAATCACTTTCAAACTTGAAGTCAAGTTTGAGGCGCTCTTTTCCACGCCTTGGTTTCCTGTCACAATGCTGCGGGTGCTATGTCACCCAAAAGCAGCAAGTTCTTAACCACCATTTGACCCCCATTGTGCCCACCTTCCTTGCAGTAGATAAAACCATGCATTACAGGGAATGCCACTTTGGGCGAAAAAGATGACCGGGCGTAGGACATCGTCGAAGCCAGCTGTGCACACCTCAACCATTTCGCGCGATTCTTTTGGCAGCCTTTCCAGAAAAGTCACGTATTGGATTTCTTGCAGGTAGATTTCCATTACCCTTATACTGTGCCAACGGCCTCTTCTTCTCACCAGTTCAGACGACTCTGTAGACATCAAAAGCCAAGAAGCTCCACCTGGGCGGAAAGAGGAGAGGTCAAAAGGACGGACCTCTCCCCTCGTCTCTGTTGGGAGCTTCAGAGCTCGCAGAAGATCATTCAACCGTTTCCGCAAAGTGGCTGATGATTGCGGCCACAACAGATCGCTGCCAGCTAGGTTTTTGTAAGCAAGCTCCAGAACCTGGATTACATCCGCTGGATCGATTCTTGCTGCTTGATGCTTTGCATGTCTGCCTCTCGTTTTCGGTTCACGTATCTTCAGCATCGCGAAATCTGTTCCTGCAACCGCATCCCCAGGAAGAACTAGATCGCTCCTAGTTGCTTGCAAGACTTCTCCGATTCGGAGGACACCTGCCCAAGCCAGTCCAAACGCAGCAGCAACTTGGGGCCATCCCCACAGAAGAGATAGCGACATCAAGGCTATCAAAATTCCTGCAGGCATAGCAGGATGATGGCCAAATGGCTCATCAGCAACCCAGCTAAAAGCGTAGTCCCAAGCTTGAGTCAACTGCTTCTTTATCTGAGGGCGAGCTCCAGCTACTGCGTTTATGGTCTCTGCAAAAGAGTTGTATGCTTTCCCACTTTTATACATCTGCTTTCCATACTCAACCAACCAGAATGAGATCAGCTCCGGATCAGCAGGCTTGTTCTTCAGTAGGAAAAGCAAAGAAATCCCCTTTGTAGACCACAACCAGACCTGGAATTTCTTCAATAGCACTTTCCTCCGGTTTCTAGTCACATCCAGCACAACCCTGTCTCCAGCCAAAACGACATGAGCTCGTTGTTCTGCACGTTTTCGCTCCAAAGCAGAATTAGGCTCCATGGCTGAAACTACCGGGATAAAACGGCCGGCTACACCTCTAGATCCTGTGCAGGGGGACCAAACCGAGAGGAAGAAAATCCAGAAGAGGCGAGAGGGCTTTGGACCTGTCAGCATGAAGTAGACAAGAAGGATTGATGATAAAATCCAGAGTCCAGACAGTGCAACTGCAGAGAGACTGAAGGAAAAATCCAAAATCCACGACAGCAAGACACGGAAAGTCCAAAGCCAAACAAACTCGTTGGAACCAGAAACAGAAGGAGCAGCATCACTACGTTGGAACTGTAGGGCAACCAAAACAAGGCGCAACCAATTTGCCGCGAACCGCTTAAGTCCAGTGCGGTGTAGGAGACGAAAGTCCACTCCGCTGAGGCCATACACTGAAAAAGGAACAGGCTCACGGATCTCACAATCCCTTGTAGGATCATCAGCTGTATTCAACCGTGTAGGGCAAAAGGGGAACACAGGGTATAAGTCGAAACCCAACTGAATCACAGCTGCTCTTCTGAGAAGAGGTTGAAGCATCCTGGATGTGGAACGACCTTTTGCCAAAGCTCCCCGGGCCACAGAAGAGTCAAGGAGGGAAATAAAGCGAGAGCTAGGATATTTTACCGCCTCCTTCTCAATTCCATGAAGGGCGGCGGAAACCTCAAGGACATTGATGTGCCTAGCTCGCTTCCAAAACCAACTCCTCACAACGTCCCACTTGCTGACTTGAACAAAATCATTCACGGCAACAGATTCCAAACCAACACATGAAAATTCTTGGTCAGCCAAAATGGCTTCACGACGCAAGGCACTCTTGAATTCTTTGGCAAGGTGAATTCCAAGCTCAGGCGTATAGGCAGCTGACTTCTTCGTGAAAGCTCCCTGAATTCTGACATGCTGATGATCACGTGTGCATTTCTTCTGCAGGGCATCTTTTGACAGCAAGAAAATGAGGAAGCAAAACTCCTTCTGATGAACCGAACCAAAATTGCAGGCTGCTATGACTGCCTCCTCAAAACTCCCTGACTCAACCAAAGCTTTCCATTCGCGCAACCATCTCATTTTTGATCTCCTAGGCTGTTCTGCTCCACAGGGCCTACGGCATCTTCTTCCAACACGAAGCAAAATAAGAGACCGAAAAGCAAGACAGTTTCCATGGAGCACTCTGGGATGTAGCCTGGAATATCCATAAGGCTGACGGTAGCTCCGCAGGTTCGGAAAAGCAGCAGGAGAAAAGGTTGTGCAAGGAGGGGCTATGAGGAAAGATCTGAACCTCCCCTCTTCGATCATCATGATTGACCACTCCAAAAGCCGCAAATCGCTTAAATCATAGTGCTTTGACTTGCTCAAGTCCAAAGGCGGCGCTACAACCAAACCCATGTCAACTGCTGCTGCTGAAACTGCTCCAACTCCCCCACAAAATTCCACAAAATCAAAGTAGAGGAGTGGTGAAGCTTTTGGTGTTACAAGAGGCAAAACGGGCTCCTCTTCGCAAATTGGATCCTCTCCGAGATGTCTCAACCACTGCCGAAAGCCATTGTCCAGCAAAACATGGGAACCCCGCTTTTCCGTGTCCAGCCAAAGCTCTTCACAAAGCGAGACAGAAATCGGAGCTCTCACAACTGCACCCTTTCTCAGCGAGGCATCTGTAGCAAAAGCAGAATCCAAATAATTGCAAGCAATATTCGTGACCAAGACAGGGGCCAGGGCCGCAAGCATCACAAGTTCTCTAGCCACAGGCCTGGGTAAAGGCACAACAAGTCCATCCTGCTGCTCCTCTGCTTTGCTGCCAAGAGCGAAAAGTCCATCAACAACTGAGCTGAGACATCTGCGATATAAGAGCACTGAACTCCAGTTTCCAGCAAGCCTCGAGACCAGCTGAGAAGAAAGCCCTGGGAAAGTGGCAGCCCTCAGAGAAATCGTACTCAAAGCCAACCTCTTTGAAACTGGAGCTCCAACCGTAACCCAGCCCTTTGACACAGCAAAGTCATCAGAAATGATCTCAGCACCAGCTGCTTTGAAAGGGCTCTGAGCAACAATATCTTTCTCATCTGAGCCAAGCAGGCCTTCTCGCTGATAGACCTCCCTTGCCCTAGATAAGGCTGAAGCAGCTGCAGAGTTGAGGTTGCACTTCCCCACATGTTCAACGCTGATCATGAAAAAGTCATCAATAATCAAGCCAGAGTACCGAGGACCCTTTGGGAAAATGCAGTGGCCCCGAACTTGTTCGTGCTCCCTCAAGAGGTCTGCCTTTTCCAAAAGTGACTGATGAGCCGCCAGAGCAAACTCAACTCCCAAATGATCCCCCTGGAAGAGAGATGCAAAACCAGCAAAGAAACTGCTTTGACCTTCTCCAGCTCCAGCGAAACGCTCACCTGCTAGATGATCTCCGACAATCTCACGATCCTTCACCAACTTCGCCTTTGCTTCATTGTCAAACTCATGCAATGCCTTTGTCTCCGCAAGCTCTTGCCTACTAAACCTGAAAGGCAAAACATTTGTCTGGGCCCTCTCCTTGCTGACTCTTGCCTGGTGATAGAAGTCTCTCCTGTCTGTTACGGAGGCGACGACCTTCTCCTTGAATTTCTTGCAGGACATCTGGCAGAGCAAAGGGCCAGGAGGTAGGTGTTTGGACGGTCCATCATAACTCATCTCAGCCATGTTGACCCGTCTCCTGTCACCAATTTGACGGTCATGCTCAAGAGATTTGAAGCAGTTGAAAACACGGCAGAAAAGCCCTTCAGCTGCAGGTCGATCAAACAGCTTCAAAAGACCATTCCGATCCCACACCTTCACCAACTTCAGACACTCACTCCTTGACTCATATGCAAAATTTGGCCCACAAGATTCATCGACCGGGAGTCCATGCCAAAGAAATGAAGGCTCCAAAAAGGGAAGCCACAACGTGCTATCAATGAAGCTCTCCATAGGCCATCTGCCTTCACCAACCAGCTTGAGCCTCGCAGCATCCAGGGAGCGATAAGGAGCAAGCTGCGGGTACTCCTCTGCTGTCAAAAGTTCTGGGTCATCTTTGAAAGAAACGTTGCCCTCAAGGTAACCACTTTGAAATGCACCACACTCATGCATGAACTTCTCCAACTGCAAAATGTCTGCACCTAATTTTGGACCGGATCTTCCAGGAGCAATTGCAAAGGGCTCCCTTGACGATCCACACACAGCTACAAGAGACCGAAGTCTGGCAATGATGTCAAACTGTAGAGCCGTCGGTCTCCTTCCAAGCTCTTCCAAGGTAGGGTAACGCCCCAGGTACATGTAGTTCAAAGCAAACACAACCACATGCAAAACTCTGGCACGACAAAGCTTCAAAAACCTCCTCCTGGAGAGCCCAGATAATCCATGCCCCTTTGAAGACAAAGCTGAGAGAGGCAAAGGAAAAGCCGTGGTAGACAAAGCTGATGTTTGTGGCGTAGAAAAATCACATGCAAAAGACCTTCGAAGATGCCATGCAAAATCTGCGCGGCTCTTCATGATCCATCTGGGCAAACATATGGCCCAGGAATCAAAGGTCATCTCATCTTTCAGGAGGTTTGGCTCCGGCCCTCCCGAAGGAAATTCATTGGCTGCAGATGAAAAAGAAAACCTCAGCTCCTTCGCTAATGGTCCTCCTCCACCTCTTGAACTGCCTGGGAAACTCCCTGATTTCCCTTTCCTCCGCCTTTCCCTTCTTTTTCGGTGCAGGCTTTGCCTTTGGGCCTGCTTCTGAGCTTGATCCCAAAGCCTTTGGGTTTCCCCCGCCCACACTCATTTCCTGCCTCTTTGCCGTGATCACATCTAATTCTTTCACAAACGCCAGTGCCACTGTGATCCATTTTTGATCTGCAAGTGGGCTGAAGGCCTTTGCCCGGGAGAGAGAAGATGCCTGGCGGTTCACATAGATCGAGGCCGGGGGCTCCTCCTGCAAAGTCAAAAGGGAGGCCAAATCGAATTTCCCCCCGTCCATCACCGCCTGATCTAAAGCCACCGCCAGAAGTGCAAGGCCGTCCTTCACAGCACCAATGTTCTCGGATTGGAGAAAGTCCATGATACCCATAATCTGATACAAAATCAGGCCAAGATCCCTCTGACGCCCGTAGCCTCCGAATCTTTCCATGTAGCGGGTTCCACAGATGCCCTTCTCCAAAAGTTCCAAAGGTGTCCCCGAGGCAGGAGTTGTTGGTTGCATACGGCGCGCCATTGCTTTCAGGACTGAGACATAGAAGCTCCCAGAGTGAGATGCAAGTTCTGCCTGAAGTCGTTTCCTCCCCACTGCACCACGAGTGCTTGCTGTAGGCCCCACACCCGAACTCAAGTCCATCAGCGGGTCGGAGGTATTGCTGGCAATCTGTCCTACCAGCGTTGTCAAAGCCTGAGACTGGGCAAGGTCCGCTCGGGCTAAACTGTCTCCTGCCAAGGAAGATTGGACACCCTTCTCCTCCTCCAAACTGAGTAAGTCTGCCGGTTGATTGAAGAGAGCACCCTGAAGCATGCCCGCAGAAGATGACATTCTGGTCTTTGGAGGAGGTGTGGCTACCACTTTTGCCATCGCCCCTGAAGAGATGCTCGCTGGGGCTACTGTAGCGGCCAAGGGCTGAGAAAGTCCAAAAGTCGAAGCCCGTGCCGGCGTCTTCAACTTCACTTCCAACTGACGCTGCCGCTCTGAGAGGTCTTGCATCTGAGAGGAGAGATTGGGCACCAGCTGCAAAAGACTGTCCAGAGACGCTGCCAGGGAGGCAGTCGTAGGCCGCTTTGGCTTTTCTCCTCTTGTAGAAGTCTCTGGCTTTGGCTTTCGAGGCTTTGGAGGCGGTGTTGACCTCCGAGAGAGCGGGGTGCCCTCCCCATCCACATCTTCTAACTCCTCCACCTGGCCGTCCGCTGAGTAAAAGGCTAGACCTGACTCTGCGCCTGCATTCTCTACCCACTCCATTGCATGCTGAAGAAGAGCAGAAGGAGAGGGGATGGCAAAAGGATTCTCGGCATCGAACAAAAAGGCAATCTCCTCGCTCTCTGTCTGGGCCCTCAAACGCTGAGCCAAACCAGCATCCACGTCTACCACCAAGACGTTCATATCTGAGCCGATTTGGGACTGTCTGCCATCTTCCACCAAGACGCCTGGCAGCTGAAGGACCGTAGAGGCCCCAATGGGCCCTGCATCTTCTCCGCGGTTTGCCCGCGCCAGTAAATCGTCTGGAATGAAACCCTGAGGGATGGCCAAAAGAAAACCGGCCTGGCGCTTCAAAACCACCAGAACTGTAGCTTCTGCATTTCCATCCATCTGAGACAAATCTGGCCACTCGAGGATGTAGGGCACATGATCCTCGTTCACAGTCACCAGCGCTTCTAAAGCCAGCTGCACATCCATTTCTTCCAAAGTCGCCATTTCTGAGGAAACTAGGGCAAAAGGTCAATGTCCTCGTCCGCAAAGCCTGCAGACCTGAGATAGACTCTCGCCTCTGTCTCACTGGGAAAAGATTGAGAGATCGATGAGCTGCCCTCCAAGGTGCCAATCTGCCTCCAGTAGGATGTGGAGGAACGATAAATGGTTGGCTTTGTAAGCCCGTCACACTTTGCCACTGCGTAGTAACGACTGCGAAGATCCAAAGGAGGGGTCCTGTTCGGCGAGAAAACCCTCTCTGCAATGACCGCTTTCGCCCACTGCCCAGCTGTCCAAGCTCGATCGATCCTGCCAATGCAATCCCGATCAGAGCCTTGCAAACGACAACCAAGAGCACGAACGTCAGGAGGACAAGGAGCAAAAGTGGAGGCAATCTGCTCTCTGGTTTCTCTGGTCTGGCTGGTTGTAGCAGGCTGGGATTCAGGAGCTGATCCAACAGAGACTCTGGTGAAAGACCCCAAGGAAGAAGCTGGAGATGACGCACGAGGCCTGAAATCTGATACGAAGCACACAAACTCAGCAGCCACAGAAGAAGGGCCAGAGACCTTGACCTGAAGTCCACCAACCTCAAGGGACAGTTCAATAGGTTCGTCGTGGTTGCCTCGCATGCAAATAACCAGCCAGCGCAGCACGAGCTCTCCCCACAGGCACAGACGAAGGGGAGGTAGGTGGATGATTCAGATGGCAATTGGAGGTGCAAGCCGGGAACAAGTCAAACCGGAAGAGCAACCAGGCAAAAAGTCCAGCTGAAAGGAGAAATCCACAGAGGAAGGCTGACAAAATCAGGCCTATGGAAGGACCTGTGCAATAGAAAGGACAGGCAAGCCCGTAAAGGTTAGTCCTAAGTCCCTGCACCAGGAATCCTAACAAAGGCTGAATCTCTAACATCAGAGCCTTGAGATGGCGATGCAATCACTTTCAAACTTGAAGTCATATATATATACACATACACATGTGTCACATATGTGTCATATGTGTGTGTAGCCATATTATAGCGGTAAATCCAACCTAACCTTTTCCTACCTTTTTCAATGACGAAAACTGGACTCCAAGACCAATTCACATCCAAGCGGCAAGGCATAGATGAACCTGTTCTCAGCCTCACTGCATACGTGGGTTCAATGGTGAAGTGAAAGATCCAACTGAGCACTGGTGCTAAACCCCTGTTAGTTGACGGTTCTAGGGACTACCCAATATCGCTGTTACTGAGATCTCAGCATATTTCTTAGACTTTTGTGCAGACTTGAAGGTAGACCAAAATTCAGGCGTCATCCCATATTTGCGCAGAACAGCTTGTGCTGTCTATCTTCCCGCCAAAAGGAACTCTTTTCTCTAAGGCATCTTTAAAAAACAACAACAACAACAACAACAACCACAACAACAACAACAACAACAACCACCACAACAAGAACAAGAACAAGAACAAGAACAAGAACAAGAACAATCAATCAATCAATCAATCAATCAATCAATCGCATGTGTTTGAGGTTCATGAGTCCCCACCAAATGATAAAATTAGGTCTGGCCTTTTAAATGTCTTGGTGGCTTTTCCACACTGTTCCACATGAATCTACGGTGGCGCCAAGAGACCCTGGAGTGGATCGAAGCTAAGTGTGCTCCCTCACCATATTGGCGACAGAAGGCCTCCGCCTGTGATCATCTCCAACCACCCAATATGACACAAATATGACACAATTTGTGCCATCTGGGCTGCGTAACTGCGTAACATTGCGTAAGTCACTGCCCGCTTTGTACTGACACACCTCGAACCAAGTCTTTTTCTCCCAGAAGTGCTTGTAGCCTGAGAAGATCTTTCGGAAAGATCCATAAGTGGTCATGTGAGTCAGATACAAAGCAATATGTGGGAGTCTTGAGATTCGTAGGGATAGAAATGTGTCTATACAAATGCTGGCGCTGGTTTCATTCAGTTCTGTTATGTTCTGTTTACATCACAAAATGCAAAGGACTTCCAATGCATTCTGGACCTGGGAAAAAAAATGAAAATAAAAAAAATGCATCATCAATCATCCACCTGTTGTCTGATCACCTCCATGCTTTTTTTGACGGACCTTCCAAGCTTTCCACACCACTGCAGCTGGAGGGCAGAAAGCATCCCACTGAGACCAGCTTTTCGGACAGGCACCCGGGTGATAGACCTGCGCGATGCTGGTGGACTCCAGGAGTTCAGATAGTTTGGGCCATAGCTGGATGGACCAATAAATATGGAATTTCTACGAAAATAAGGAATCTATAAATGGATGAGAACTGGGGCCGTAGCCTATTTTAGGAAACCACCACATGGATCCACATGGGGCGTCCCAGCATCCCCATGATCTTTGAAGAGGTCTTGGTACGCCTGGCTCAGCTGATCCCGCTCGTAGCTGGCAGCCACTTGCGCATCGGAGGAAGGATTGCCACACCAGTGGTGGAAGTCCTCTGCAGCTTTTTCTGCAGCAAGTGGATGTGGATGTGGATGGATTCATCGGTGAGTCAGGGATGGAGAGCTGGTAAATCCGACAACTACCATAATCGCTAAAGTCAAAAGTTACTAAAGTCATCTAAAAAATATCTAAAATCATCTAAAGTCATCTAACACAGGATTTGGGGCAAACTGGACACTCCTCTGCTCGCTTCAAGCATGCAGCATCATTGCTGCCCGCATTGACCTGGGAGTCTGGGAGCGATGCGCACCAGGTGCGGGAAGGCAGCATAGGCGGCAGCATATGCAGGGCATATACTTTGTTTATATCATGTGTATACTTTGTTTATATTTGTTTATCTTTGTTTATCTTTGTTTATCTTTGTTTGTACTTTTGAGTGCAACCCAATGCATCCCAGCCCAACCCAGCCATTTTTCTCCAAGAAGCATGCGTTTCTCCTATGTCATCACGGAACTGCTTCTGTTGAAACTCCGGAAAATTTTGACCTTGGACCATGTTCCAGGGGAAGGAGGCATCCAATTAAGGGGAGAGAACTGGCGACATCAAGCCTGAAAAGGAAAGGCATTGATCTTCTGAGAAGCTGTCGCATGTAAACACAATATGTGTTATCAGACATCGGGTGCTTTTGGGATGTCAAAACCTGGTTCTATCACGTCATTGTATCCATGTCAGAATGCAAGGGTCGAACACAACCTCAAGGCTCCCAAATGTTACATAGCCGGTCTGAACCCCCGTTACAAAATATGGTTTTTGTGAATCATCCCAGGTAGATATGATTAAAAATCAAAATCATTGAACCCACCCAAGTCTTGTGATTTTGACTTCTGGTCCCTCTTGTTGTTCGCAGAAATCAAGGGCCGCACACATCTTAGCAGTAATCATACATCCGGTCGACTCCTGTAGATCAAAGTTGCCACAGCTCCGCAACGTGAGGACATGCTGAACAACGTCCCAGGATTCAACAGTCACCCCACACTGAGAAAAGAAATGATGCTCCCTGGACCTTTCCTAGTTTCCATCTGTGTCTGGGTGCGTGCGTGTGTCTCGCTTCTCAACAGTCTCTGCCTTTGTCTTTACATACAAGCCATCCACTTTCGTCAGCTTGCCAAATCATCTACCCGAGACCTGCCGAAAGTATAAACACTTAGAATCCTTAGAAATCCTTAAAATAGAATCAAAAGGTCAGGACCACAGGGCCATCTCCAAATCTTCACTCAACTACACCATAGCCGTCCTCGCCAGAGCTCAACCGTACCGTGAAGGCGAGACCCAAAACCACCACGGAGTCCCTGAGTCGACCGCGCCGAACCATGACCTTGCCATGGAGTCAATGGATTTCGGTGGGATTTCGGTGGGATTTTCTTGGGATTTTGCTGGCTTTTCCCATGGTTTTCAGCATGGTTTTCAGCACAAAAAGAGAGTTTCCAGCTGCCCATCTTCTGGGACAGCGAGGTGCTTTTGCAGCTTTTGGTCCCAAAACTCATGCGACTAGGCCACTGCCGGACAACTGGCGACCCCGCAATGCCCAAATCTGAGCCAAAACCAGCAGAACGCATCTTTGCAAACAGCATTGGTTCGCTGGAGCACTGTAGTCTTCGGAGATTTAGAGAAAATAGTCAGTTTCAACCCGAACATCTAAGAACAAAAAAGTGATTCTAGAGCTATTCTTGCGGACTCAGCTAGTCTCAACCTCAGACTTCAGTTTTTAACAACAGTGACTCTTCACTGCTTCACTTCCACCTTTCCATCCCAAGTACCAACGGCCCCGGCACTATCACTGTCTTCCATTGCAGGCTCAGAAACCTCAAGACCCGGGATCCGAAAACCTTCAATGCTTAACCACATGCCGCAAAACAACAAGCAAATCACCGGTCCACCTTTGAGTTCATTGAATTTTGGTAACATCCCAAATTCAATGCATCAAAATTAAAGACTACCGTTCCTAGCAAATGTCACCAAATCAAACCAGGTCTGTTCACAAAAATCGAGACGCATCCCGCCGCAGTTTCCAAGAAACAGAGATCTGTGCCATTTTCATGGGCCGCAAGGGCTGCCCAAGCGTTCCGGTCCCTGTGAAGTTCAGGCATGGCCGGCCTCAGCCATGGATCGGCTTACATGGGTGGCATTGGTGTCATGTTCAAGTTCCATGGGGGTTAAATGGGTGATGGATATTATGATCATTCCCCAAGATTGGACATCCTTATCTTGGCGATAATTCCTTGTTCATGTTTATGACTTTCAATTTGGGTATATATCATCCAACGTTCACCACATGACATCTGGCAAGAAGCATGGTTGAAGTGTGAAAAAAAACAACCATCATCAACGTGAGAGCAAGGGCATAACAAAACGTCAGAGCAGGACTTTTGTAACAGGTTGGCCGTTTGATTCACCTGTCCAGCTAGGATAGCCTTTGGCTTCAAAATCTGGACTGGTAAAAGACTGACTCCTAGATGAGTCAAATGCCAACCATGTCCCACCTGCGCAGCGCATTACGACTCTGACGACTGCGACCGGGAAGAGGAAGAAGAGCTCCCGTCGCTTTCGTTATTTGCAGGGAGCTTGAAACATTTAGAGCATTTTGCTCCGTTAGGCTCTTCTTTGAGAAGGGCATAGTCGGCTTGGCCACGGGCAAAATGCCAAAAGCACTTTGTACGCCACAGGTAATGTGGCAAAGTGTTTCCGTGGCGTGCCGCCAAGTGTACTTTGCCTCTCGAAGAGCGGTTTCTAACAAAAAGTACATCATTCTCCGGTGGATCTGGTGCCGGAGGTTCGATGATTGCTGCCGCCTCGCAGTCAGCCAAGGCTTCAACCGGCTGGTGGGCAAGGCCAGTTGCGGCTGCCGTGGCTTCTTTGGTGGCCGCCAGAATGGCCGATAGCTCTGCCCTTGCTGATGCTAAGGATGCTTTGAGCGAAACTTCTTGGGCCAATCCATGGAGCTGTTCGAGGGGAGCGTCTCTTACATATTGTTTAAATATTTCGGATCCCCAACGACCAAACAATTGGATTCTCCAAAGTTCGATTTGGGTGCGAGCCATGTGTACGGCTCCCGCGGCCCTGGCTGAGTGGCCTGTGAATAGTCGAAGCCCAGTGGGGCCGACCAATTTCAGCTTCAGCTTTTGGGCAATCGCCTCAAAAGTGCCGGCCCAGCCTGACTTGGTCGTCTGAGCGCCGGTTTCTGTACAGAAGAGGAACGAATGCCTTTTTGCTTTGGCCCATTTCACTTGTTCCACCATGAGATGGTATGGACAGAGTGCTGGGCTTCCTTGCTCCGCGCAGGAGCATGTGTGGGTGCGAGTGGCGCCCAACGCGCGCCAGTCTGCTTTACTGGACGGCAAATTCCATTTTATTAACTTTTCTCTAGGATCCACTTGCACGTGCGCTAGCAGCGTGTTGCTGGCTTCAATTTCCCTCAACAACCACCAGGACGCAAGCACCGTTGACCGGACGGCCCATTCCGGGCCCCCTGGCGCAAGCGGGTTGCTTACGTCGGTGAGAGTGGAAACATCGGCCAAGGGCAAGGGTTGAGCTTGCTTCGCTGGCCCTCTGCCCCGCTGGCACGCACGCTTGGCGCATTTAGCCGCTAGCGCTAGCTGTGCCGTCCAGGGTTGCCCTTTTTCGATGTGCCTTTGCTTCGCGACTTCGAGGTACAGTTCGGCTGACCTGTACCCTGCTTTGTCCAGGGCCCCCATGACAGAATATATCAGGTCGGGGACGAGATCAAAAGCGCGATCGTACCCGGCTGCCTTTGCTACGGATTCCCAGGTGCGCTCCCTAGACAATGTTGGTCCATGGGAGTTAGCCGCACGGGCCCGCTTGGCAATGTGCTCCATGCACTCCCGGGGTCCGGAGCTGGCTGCCTGAACAGCTAGCTCCAGGGATCCCCTGCCATATGGTTTAACTTGGCGGTCCTCGGGATTTCCCGCCTTGTTGTCAATACCATTGGCAACGGGGGCACGAGACGAAATGACTGGCCCTTCTGCCAAGGGCCTGAACCCTTTAGGCTTCTTGGGCTCGTCGTGAGCAGTAGCTGGCCTTTGCCAGTATGTGGGCCCTACGGACCTTTTCATGCTTAAAATGCTGCGGAGAAAAACTAACTGATTGGACAACCCTCCTACAAATAATAAAACAATCACACCCAAAAACCTACCCCCATCCCGTCCTCAGGTAAACCGCCGCACTTTTTCCGCGTCCGAGTTCACGGATTTGCCAAAAGTCGGGACCTACCTCGATGGGAATCCGTTTGGCTTCCCCAAGGCGATCTTGAGGAAAAGGAGGCGGCACTGGGTCGTGTTGCCTGCTCAACGGGTCGGCTGTGATGTTGAGCTTGGTGTTGATGTGCTGGAGTATAGTGACCTCATATCTCTCCTTGGCCTGGTCGAGTGCTATTTCCCTGGCAACCACCTGCAGTTCGGGTGATTTGGCCTTACCCTTCGCGAGTAGGTAAAGGGCCGATATGTTGTCCGCTTTTACACGGACCACTGAGCCAATGGGGAACCGCACTAACCAGATGCGAGCCGCCAAGAGCAGGCAGAGAGCCTCCCAGAGTGCCATGTGTTTTGGTATTCCGGGAATGGCTCCTGTCTTCACTGTGAACTGAAAGGGAATGGGGCAGCTGAAATACTCGATGGCCGCCCCTCCCATGAGTAGCACTCCGCCCATGCCCCAAGTCGAGGCATCGGTTATGATTATGGCACCTGAGTTAGGTTTGACTGACCTCACCACTCGAGTGAATGGTACAGTCGATTCTTCCAATAGCGCGAGGATCCATTCCATGGAGTGGGCAATCCGTTTGGTGTGAACGAGCTTTCTGGCCCTGGAAGGGCCATCATCAGTCGCCAACACCGCCCAGATGCCTCCCAGGAACGGGCGCATCAATGGGACGACGCTTGCGAAGAATGACAGTGTAGCGATTGCAATTGCTTCTTGCCCACTACCGGTCTCGCCATAATTTTCGTGATGCGTTCCACAACCTCCGAGACCTTGTCGGCTGGAATGGTTATGGAAACCGCCCTGTCCTCCTGTAATATGCGCATTTCTGCGCCGATCCATTTCACTGAATGACCTGACTCTGTCTTCTCCATTTTGATTGGGAAACCCGCCACGGCCGCCCAGAGGATGCTGACCGTGATTTGTTTGTCCCCCTTCGGGTCGCTGGAGTCGAAGACCATGATGGGGTCGTCGACATAGATCTGGCATGCCACTGCCGGGTTGACGGCCGCCAACGTTCTGCCCAGCCACGAGGCGAAGCGTCCCCAGAGAGTCGGTGACGAGACTGCTCCGAAAACGAGCACGTCATACACCAGTACTTTCTGTTGGCCGTTCACTTCAATGGCAGCTGCCGTGAACGCTTTGTCCTCCCCTGCCGGAACATTGTGGAACGCGTTCTCAATGTCTATCGCGAAGAATACTGGTGTGCCCCCGGCCCTGAGGATAGCGACTGCATCTGCCGCTGCGTCGGTTAGCCTGGGCAGTATGATTCTCTCGCCCTGAGAGCACAGTCCGTTTACCCCTGATTCACGTAGGTCCCAAATGAGTCGGGCCTTTCTCTTGTCACCCTTCACTTTCACGATAAGGCCAAGCTTATTGAGTACCGGCCAACGGCCGAGGTACGTTGTGGCCTCCTCCATGGTGTCGAACAGGGAGATGAAGCCTTTTGCTTGAGCCTCTGCAACTAGTATGGCGAGGTCTTCCTGCCATTCGTCAGCTGATGGGTGATTCTTCCATCCCTCGTATTGCCTGGCCAGCTGACTCGCCGCTTCCTCTTCCCAATGTGGTCCTGTGACCCTGGGAAATACCCCTGTGCAGGGTATCGGTTGTGAATAGCCCAGTGGGCCTCCTTCTCTCAGCCAGGTGGCCAGCAGCTTGGCGTCGGGGTCCTCTGTGAATTCACCCCAGGCCCAAAGCACTTCCGCCGAGATAGGCGTTGACGCCCTCGTGCTCTTCTGGGGTAGTTGGACGCCGGCCGGGGCCAGCAAGCCCACCACCAGCTCTCTGAGTTTCTCGACGAACGCTTTGTCGAGGGGCACGGTTTTCTGCCCCCCCAGAAGTGCCTTTGTAATGCGCACTGCTTCTGGATGGGTGGCTGCGTTCAGGAGGAGCTCATTTATGGCCTCGCCTGCAATCAAGGATCTGGGGAGTTTGGCTGCTGCAGCACGAGGGTTTCTCATACCCCCAAGCGCTGCCTCATTTTCCAGTTCCTTGTCTGTCCGCCTTGCGTCTTCCAGATGCGGCCCGGCTGGACCTTCAGCGCCCCCCTTTCAGGGGAGCTCCTCAGCTTTCATTTCTCTGAGCCGTTTGGCCCTAGGCTGGTCTGCACCCATCATGGCCCCTGCGATTATTTTGCAGAGCCTCGGTGGGTATGCTCCCAATGCCTTGGACGCCCTTTCTTTGTTGCCCCCCTCGTTGGTGCGCCACCTCTGCACAAGGCTTTCGTGCTTGGCCTTGTACTCTGAGCCGTCAGGCTTGGTCCAGGTGCGGTTTTGATGTGTGCACCTGATGCCTCTCAACTCGGTGAGGTCCATGTCGAAGTGTGCCAGCTTGGTCGGTTTGGTGACCTCTGCATCGAACATACATTGGTCGAAGGCCGCCTTGAGCACCAGTGCGTGCTTCTCGATGCCGATGCCCCACTTCGTTTTCCAGAAGTCAAGTTTGGATCCATGGTCAGGATTCTCCAGCCAGAACGACCGATGAGCCCTGAGCTGATACTTGACCGCCTCCGCAGACAGCTCGAACATCTGATTTGCTTGAGCGAGCTGCTGTTGCTCGGCCTTTGAGAGCTTCTTACGGCCGAGACCCTCAGGATGAGCCAGGTCCCTCAATGGCTTGGGGCCTGGGGGATTCTCCCTGAGGGGTGACAGCGTCTCGCAAGGCGTGGCAATACCCACGCAGTCGAATACACCATCCTGAACTTCTTTCAGAATGAGCCTGTAATTTTCGGAGTCCAGAACATCGCATGTGGTGGGGCCCACAATGTCGACGACCACCACTATCCATCCTCCTGCGGCAAGATAGCTGGCGATGTCGCCTTCCCTGGACTTGCCGCTGAACAGCAGCAGTGCCCTGGGCCTGTGGTCCCACTGTTCTGGCGGGACGTTTGTCGCCCCGTACCGGTACGGGTGCCAGCTTGGCGGCTTGGGCAGCTGGCTTGGCCCCTGCCGATGCGGTGCGGCCTGCACTGGCCTTCGCTTTCTTTGCAGTGGTGACCTGGACGGTCTCTGGTTTCTTGGAACCAGCTTCACCCCTGAAGAGGATGCCGCAGCCCTCTCCTCGGGGCTTTCTTCTTTGCGCCCTTTCTTTTCGGGCGGTGCGCTGGGATCCGACTCAGGCTGTTTCTTGCGCTTGGAGCGCTTTGCACCAGATGCAGTGTCACCGGCAAGGGTAGGAGGTGCTGCCTCACCCTCGCCTGTTTGGCGCTGTCAGTCTTTCTTGCATTGGCTTGCCTGATGGGGACCCAGGCAAAGGTTGCATTGGTGACTGCGCCCGTTGGGGCATCTTGACTGTGGCTTGCCATTGCCGCACTGCCCCTTGTTGAACTTGATGCAAATCTGAAGGCCCTTGCGGTTGAGGGAGAAGACCTTGTTGTTGTCGTCCCACTTGCTCTTGTCTTCCCCCGTGTACTTCTTCTTTGCCTTCTTCTTCTTGAGCTTCGGGCTCGAGGACTTCTTCCTCTTTGGCGATGGCCGCTCTGGGGCCGACTCGATCGAGGAGTCCGAGCTCAGCCCACAGGCTATGGACTTGTTGCGGGCCAAGAGCAGTGTGCTTGGGGTCACCACTTCCCTTGTCCAGAAATCTTGCTCCCGGACCGCTTCCGCGAAGATGGCAGCCCAAGGGTTGGCGGGTGTATACCCATGCCGTGGGTCGTCGTCCAGCGCCCGCCGGATTCTCTCCATGTACTCGGACCGCATGCGGGTGTCTGCACGGTATATGATCCCCCAGCATGCTGGCCCGAAGCGATTGTGGAACTCCTTGACGTGTTCCATGTAGGCCTCGAGCCTCTCGGGGTCCGCAGCCTCCAAGAGCACCATCGCCACCTTGTATGTTTTGAAACACTTTTCCCAGGCGACGATGCTCTCTGGGCCAGGGGCTTCTTTCTTGCTCCATTCCCCCGATGCCGCATTCAACACGTAGCTCTTGAACACCGCTTTACGCAGCGTTCTGAGCCCGTGTGGACCCCACAGTGACATGTCCGCGTATGGCGTGGCGTTCGCCTTCAACAGTTGTGCCAAAGCCGACAATTGGTCGATGCTCGGCTCAACCTCCGGCGATGGGTGATCACCGAACCTGCTTTTGTACTTGGCGTACATTGCACTGACAGCGGTCTGTTCCAACTGGACCACCTCTGAGTCCAGAGTTGGGTCAATGACCACTGACAGTTTGATCTTCCTTGTTGGGGAACCTTGTGAACTGGACGGGGGCTGTGCCGGAGTTGTAGCAACCCCAGGGCGTTGTATACCCGGATCCCCCGGTGTGTCGGGCGTCATCTGCATCCGGAGCATCACCACCCGTCGAAAGATTTCCAGCCTCGAGCCCTCCACTGGTGTGGGCTCACGTTGACCTGGTGGGTCGCCTGGATTGGCTGGTGCTGTCGGTACCCTCAGGAGGACAAGTGCTGCGTCCCACACCGGGCGTGTGATGGATGCAATGTCCCTGAGTTTCGTCGGGGTGCCGAGATCTTTGAGGAGACCCTCTTTCAAAGGGCCCTCAAGACCGGCCCAGTCTGCCACGTCGTCAATGGTCTCCATGTTGTTGAGCTCCTCTTCGGTTGGGTCCATGTTGCAAGGCAGGACCCTCCCTCAAAGGAGTAAGTTCCGAACTCGTAGAGCTCCTTGGTGTTGCGGAACCAGCCAATGTGGCTCTCCTCCTCAGATTGGGTCGGCTCTGCACCGATTGGCGCAAGGAGCTTTCCCTGAGGTTGGAGAAGGCCAAGCTGATCGCTCGTCGACGGCGCACAAAGCGCAAAGCCCGGGATGTAAGCACTTCCCAAGGGCCCACAACGCGAGAGGTTGCGGCTCGGGCATTTCCGATCCCAAACCGGACCCAAAAGGTACGGAGGAACCAGCCACACAGGACCCCCAGCCCGTAAGTGCTAACCAGCACCCACAGGAGGAGGTCCACACCCGGATCCTCGGTCGGTTGACCGAAGGGACCAGGTGCTGCGTCGCTGCCTTCCCCACCTAGCCCTGGGCCCATTGAAATGAAAACACCCCAGCCTTGAGCCAAAATGGCCACCAAGGCCGAGGTGAAGCTCCCACCCTCAACTCCCCTCTCACTCAATTGGTTGTTACAAACACAGCAAGCTGTTAAAACCAACACTGATGGATGTATGACCATCCCTCAGGATGAGAAAAATGAGGACATGTTTTTGAACCCCCCAGGTTTGATCAACACCTGAGATTTTTTCAGCAAAAGGGCCATGTTGCGGGCCCTAAACTGCCAGAAATCCCCCAGTGCCCAAAAAACGACTTGGTTTCCCATCGGCTGGTGGTCACCAAGAGCAGCAAACTGATGGCCTTAGCGACGGGAAGACCTCCATTTCCCATCAATTGTTCTTCAAAAAATTACATGCATGGCCGCATGGCAAAATAAATCGAAAATGATTTGGCAGTTTTTGTTTACCTGTTTTGGGACAATTAAAAAAAAAAGGTGTCCATTTGATGTTGTCAGTTGATTATCTTTACATCAAGTTTAGTTGGAGCTGACCTGGACCACGATCTAACCTATTTAGAAACTAAATTAATTAACCAAATGTTGTAACCCCAAAACAGAGAAGTTTTCAGGGTTCCGGTTCCGCACAACGTACTGGTTTCCAAGGCCGACGAGCAAACGGCACACCACTCCCAGACCCACAGATTGAAACCCAATGCTGTTGGGAATAAAAGAACTAGAACGGCGTTGGTCTGCGCCCCCACTTCTAAACACAGTCAAACAGCTGAAAATCCAGATTGTCCCCACATGTCCCGTCACCACATCGTACATTGCAGGTTTGTTCTGTTAACATTCCAGTTTGATGAGATGTTAACCTGGTTTTTTCAAAAAAAATTAATGCTGCTGTCAGGTCCTAATTTGTTCCCGCAGAAGTTGCAGTTTTGGTGATTCATCCCCAGTTCCCGCATCGAAACACTCAGGATACTTCTGATTGCGGGAAGACCATTTGCTTCCAACATGTGCCTAACAAATATCAAATTGCGATTCTGCCAAACTGAATATATAAAGTTTGTTGAAAAACTATACCAAACAAGTTGCAAAACACGCACACATCGTACCACAAGGCCCTCATTTCTTCCAACAAACCAAATCTGAATGATTTGGGTCAAATCACTGGCAGTTGCGATTTTTTGCGGTATGGCAAATTTGAACCTTCAAAGCCGACAAGGCACCAAACAGCACAGGTAAGCTGCCATGGCACCAACCTTCTTGGTGATAATGACAGGACAGACTTGAACCAAATGATCAAAAAAAAAATGAACGAAAACAATATTCAATTGGCATACAAACGGAATTGAAAAAATGTGTTTGTTTGCATTCAGCAAATATTGCAATGCGTTAGCACCTTCGATATGCTAAATCCGAATGTGATGGGAAAACACGTGTATACATTCGCTTTCGAATTTTCCATCACAAACTTACATGCGCACCTTTTTTGAAATTTACATTCACTGATTTGTTGTTACCACACATTGTATTTCAAAGTTTGAATGTTTAAATACCTTGGTTGAAAAACCAAACAACAATCCAGCTACAAGAGGTTTTGCATCGATGAACAAAAAACTATCATCAGTGTGGTTCGTGCAAACATGTATGTGTGTGACAATTTTATTGCATCACTGCAATTAATGCCTTCCTGTGACCAATTTCCAACATGTTTGTCTTTGGGTTTCATACATGATTCACTAGCACGTTGGATTAAAACCTCGTGTTGGGCATCATTTGTCCAATGCATGAATTTTACCATAAAATGTTGTGAATGTGTATTTCGGTTTGATGAATGGCAGACTGTCGCAGTTCGGAACCGTTGCGTTTTTGGAATGCCAAACTCAATTTGTGCTCTTCAAGGGCACTTAGAAACGCGCTTAAATAAAACAAACACGGAAACATGAATCCAAAACTGCGAAGCGGGCAGTGTTTTCAGCCAAAAGGATCCGGGTTGGTATTTGGGGATGACTGTTGGGTCATGATTTTGTAGTAAAGTGGTGCGGCCCAACCCCAAGCATTACAATATCTATGCACATGCCTGAAAAAAAACATTGCAAAAGCGAAACCCAACCTGGATAAACGGTTACTAAAAAAGACATCGGATTTGAGAAAAGGCCCTTCAAGATCCTCTTAAAAAACCAATTAAATGTTTGTAATTTTGTAATGGTTGTTGAATGGATCCCACTGCTCAAATTGAAATGCCTCGATTTTTGGCGTTTGCATTTTGTAATGATCGTATCGTGGTCCAAGAGAAGTCACAGACCCAGCGTGTCTCAGCAGCGGACCTAAAGAATTCAAGATTTCCTCATTTGAGACAAAATCCTGCAAGATGGTGCATATGTTTGATTTTTCAAGTTACAAGTTGTAGTAATTGGCATTGGTTTTCAGTCAGCGCGCTTCAAAAGGCACATTTTTTTGTTGTTGTATTTTGTTGCGCATCAATGTTCGTCTGATTTGTGTGCATTTTTTCCGTACCAGTAGTACCGCACAAGGTGGTGGCGGAAGTTTCAAAAATAGGAAACCTATAGGAGGGGTTGGTTGTTGTGAGTCACGGTTGGCAGAGCCAAGCCACTGATGGACCGACAGGTCGTTGAGGTCTCTTCTCTTTTTCCATTTTTTTATTTCTTTCCCGGATTAT